CTGCGCCACGAACGCGGCCACACGAGTTTGATTCTCGCTCACGACCAGGACCACTGACGATTATCTGAACCGGTCATGGGCCTCCCTTAGGTCGACTCAGCCTCAAATGATTACCTGGTGCGGATGTGTAAACATCACCACTGGGGAGACAAAGGCGGCCGGGCGTGGTGTTGCCCACCCACCTCCCTCGTGTGCCGTGTCGGTCTTCAAAGGTGCTCGCTAACAGAACTTGCCCCAACAGACTGCCGAGGCTAAACAGGGGATCTTTGTTTTTGCACGTGCGCGCGCGCGCTGATCTGCCACTTACAGCGTCCTCGGAATCGCATCCCTCCACGCTCATCAGCAGTTCGCAATGCCTCGTAATCGCTGCCACCACTGCTGGCACCGCCTGCACTCGGCGTCACCTGTCACCAGGCACCGCTCTCACGCAGGCGGCCGCTGCTGCCGCTGCTGCGTTGGAGGGTGCCCGAGTGGCTCGTTGCAGCTTTGTGGAGATGTCTGAAGCCGTTGCGTGCGACGCTTGATCAAACAGGGCCATGCGTCGAGAAGCGCTGGTTTCCGGGGCAAATGCTTGGAGCAACCACTTCACACTCACTTACTCACGCGCGACACTTACTCGCAAACACGCACTCGCTCGCTCATACACACTTAGCCCGCTTGTCCGCCTCGTGTGTGTGTGTGTGGTGTGGATGCCTCTCGAGGTATTCCGCATGAAATATAAGCTCGACGAGCCATTACCTCGTGCTTGTTGTGAGTAAATGCTGTTGTGCATTTGTACTTGTTTTGCTCTCGTTTTTGGCTGTGGAGAAAAGTTCATATTGTAGGTCAAATAAAAAAAAAAGCCGTGGTCGTTTCAGATTTGTACACTGATTATACACTCCAGCTTAGATTTATGTCGTGCATAAATGCCACTGCATCTCCAGACGCTGTTCTAATAGGGGGGGGGGGGGTGGCGTGTGTGTCTAGGGAACAAAGGGAAGAAGAGAAGCACCTCATTTTCGGTTATTTTCAGAAAGGAGTCGAGGGTTATAAGGCGAAGAGGGAAATAAGACGCTGCACAGATAAACACGGGCAGCCGTAGGCAGAGGGGATAAGGAAGTTGTTGGGAATGGTCTCAGCTGTATAGATTATCAGAGGAGGGGAGTTTGAGATAACGGTCACTATAGAGAAGGAGCAACGTCCCATTAAACAGAAGATGACCCAGGGTTTTTACGAGAGGCCTTGGTTGCTGGAGCTACACGGGGCATGTGAAAGGACAGATACTGAAATGGGATAGCAGAGGCAGGCAGTGGTGAGTTCTCATAGGATCTTGGAAAAGGTGAAGCTGAACTTGTGATCGATCTAGGATTGAATTAGGAGCCGAGATAGGCAGGTAAGTATCAGGGTTATATTGTCTCGTTAATCAATATAGGGGGTATAGCTTGCACTGTGGGCTATTTGGAGGGCATACAAGAGAGAGCTCGGGTATAGCTTCAGTTGAATGTAAATAAAGCATTAGCTATTGTGATTGTCAGCATCATCATAAACATGCAAATAGCATGTGTTCCTCCGATGAGCACGGTTGGCTACGTTACAGTTGTAGATGGGTTTTTTTCAAAATTGTTAAGTTGAGATTTTTTTTTTGGTTTGCAAATCAATAGATTACTTAATTAGAAATGTTACACAATTTGTATGGATTTCCCGGGTACTCCTCGGGCAGTTCGTGAAACACAGTCGGTTCAGATGTTTCCTTTTACTGAGCGGAATCAGCAACTTTTGTGATAGTTGTTGCATTATTTGTCTTATGTATTATATTATTTTGGTCTTTACCAAAAAATCCGAGTTTCCAAATTTAGAGGAAGCATCAGCAAGTGTAGAACAAATCAACATTGGTGTTGTACAAGGAGTCCACCGATTGCAATCAAGGTGCCATTTGTAGGCGTTTGCATGGTGTTCGTTTGCTGATGATCTCTCTTGGACTTTGAGGTTGGAGCTTGTGGACTGAAGGATTGGGAATAGGGAAAGAATGGGGGGGGGGGATGTGGCAATTCATTTTGGTGGCATCTATAAAAGCATTCTACAAGTGCTGAAAAGACATTTTTGCCAGAATCCTATCGCGCTCGGCCCAGAAAGAGGTTTCCTCATGCATGAGCCGCTCTATTCAGAGCACAGCCCAGGGCTATTGTGACAGCGCCGCGTGGAGCCAGGGAACCTCGGCGTGGAGGCGCGGGGCGAAGGAATGGGAGGGAGCTCAGAATAAAGGTCGATGCAACAATAAAGTAGGCAGCAACGGAGGGACCAAAGGGAGAAAAGGAGGAGGAGAAGGGGGGGGGGAATCCCCAGTAACGGCGGAGAGTGGATGGAGCTCTGCGGTTCAAGCAGCTCCAGCGTAAATCTGAGCTCTCTGCCACAGCTTCGGCAAGATCTCTCGTTTGGTGGCACTTTTTCGCCAACAAAAAAACCGAACCGACACGCACGGCGGTGTGTGTCTGGTGCGAACGCGAGAGTTTGCGCGCCTCTTGTAAAGTTTGCCTTGCCCATTGAGTTCGCTTATTGACCCTCTCCCGCGCGGTGTTTGTAAAGTGATTTGTCTCACGTAAACGGGGATAATAGACCATCCTTCCGAGCCGGCTGCTCCACCCCTCCCTCCCCCCCTTCTCGTCGAGGCCCTCTCGCTCTAACCCCCCTCTCACACTCGCCCCCTCTCACACTCCCGTGTTTCTGTGGGACCGAGGAATGAATCTAAAGCAGCCCACGAAGGAGCGGGGTTGTTTTAATGATTAGCCACCCGACCTCTCTGCTCCAATAAAGAGTGCGGGTCTGCAGAAGGAGGGATCAGGACTGCGACAATGGCGAGGAATGCTAATCGGGGCCTGGGCAAGGGGAGAGGTGGGGGGGGGGACTCCGTTTGGAAATGTGGGAATTGTTCAGCTGAAAGGCACTTTGGGAGGGTAGAGCAGGTCTCTGTGGGGGTCTGATCAGTCACGCTGCCACGGACAGTGTTTCTGGGCATGCGCTGTCACGAGTTTGAGCCAAACACTACAACGGAGGTTAACATTCAAACGCATTTGCGCCTATTGTCGCAAAGTTCCATCTATTTCACTGCCTTCACGCACACGCTTGCTACGATGCACGTGACGTTGTGCAGAAACGTTCGTCTGGTGAGTGTGCACGATTTCTTCTCACTTGAAGTTATTTGCAAGTCTCCGGCTACGAGTGGATTTATTTCCCGTGAATTAGAACAACGCTGACCAAATAAAGATGCTGCGTCCTTGTAAAATGCCAAATCACTGTCAAACATCCTCTTGTGGAGAGCTCGCTGTCGCCTCCACGGCAGTTTTTTGGACCCCTAACGCACGTGCGAGGAGACGACACACGTGTGGCCACGTGGCAAGTCTGTCCCCGTCTCACCGTGCGTGGGGACTGTGCCCCGTGGGAGCGCTGGTCCATCATCGTTGCTCTGCTGAGGCCCGGGATGGGGTTTGCTGCGTGGCTGCTTTGAGCAGCAGCAGCAGGAACACCAAGAGACAAGCGGGAGGCGTGGGCGGTGTTGGAGGAGGGGGGGGGGGTTCGTCAGCTGGCACCTGCAGGGGGCCTCGGAGAGTGGGCCATAGAAAATTGCTTGCGGATCAAGTGGGGGGTTCTGCTGTACAGAGCGCTCTGTTTTTTTTTTATTGGGGGGGTGGGGGGGGGATATTAATAAATAAATACATGCCATTTTATCAGTTGCCTGGATCCTGCACTATGGAATGTAGGGGTTAAGCATACCAGCCTTCGCAATCCGTTTTAACTGGACTTCTCATCCTGTCGCCGACTGTGCTTTGAAATTGAATTAATGACGCCAGTGTAGAGTTCTGGGGCCTTTCATTTCTCAGTCTCTCCTTTTGCGTTTGTTCCAATTTTACAACCATGTTGTCGTCACACCGCTCCCACCCCGCTTCTTGCACCCCCCCCCCCCCCGCGTTTAAAAATTTCTCGATCCATCGTTGCATCGATGAACATTGATGTGCGAGCATCTTCAAAGTGAAACTGCTGAGGGATATTCCGCAATTAAGAATGTCGTCAAATTGAGGGCATCCGGTTTGACACATGCTGCTTTCAACAAAAGCACTCGTTAGGGCAGCTAGCTATGCTGGCCTGAAAGGCCTGAATGGGGCTTGGGAGCCTGAAGCCACAGGCATGTTGATTGGCTTCGGCCCATTCATCGCAGAGACGCAGCATTCACAAGCGCTGCGCGAGTTCAGCGTTTGGACCCGACTCGCTCGTCACAAAGCAGCAGATAAAGAAGACCGTCTTGCTTCCCACCGAACGTCTCGTCCCGTCTGTCGTACATTTACAGTATAACGTGCGCGAGCAATAATCAAGAGCGGCACGGAGGCTAGCCCTGGCTTTGCAAGGATGCGTCGGCAGTGTTGGTCATGCCAGCTTTGGCAGCGTAGGTACAGGTGTTTATTGAGAGCAGGCCTGGAGTTTGATGGCCCGCAATGAGTGCTTTCTGTGACGAATTGTGTTCAGTGACAACGGTTGAATCACCGAGTCGGCTTGGCCGTTTACCTACGAATAAAGCAATTGCCATCAGCGCAAAATTGCAGAGCCATCAGATTGACACGGAGCACATTTTGACTGTTAAATAAATGCTATGGTGGGGGCCATAAACGTCCTCTCTCACCTGGCAACCCGCCGAGTGAGTCTGCTCATCTTCCTTGTCACCTTGACATCTCCTACAGAGTGTCTGTCGGTAGAGGGGTGGACTTTCTTTACGCAACTCGGCACAGGTACCAAATAGAGGACTCTGCCCGGGCAAGGCTGCCTGCATTTGTCATGTCCCAGTGGTGTGTACCCTAACATTCTGCTATGATTTCACAAACGTACAAAGAAAGCAAAAGAAAAATTAGAGGAAATCCTGATGGTAGAATCACAAATAAGAGACAAAGAAACCATCTTTGTTCTAAACGTGAAATATTTTAGGCTAATTGAAGACACCTCGAGTCAGGACTGTACTTCCCCGTGTTTCCTTGCAGAGGAAGAGAGCCCTGGAGCCGGCTACGTACGAGAGCGCCGCGACGCGCTGCACCTCCTGAGCACTGCCGGCACAGCTGGCGGTGGCGGCGTCAGCATCAGCAAGCCAGCCCTGAGTCAAATCCCCGAGGAGCCCAGCACATCCACCACCGAGGAGGGGCCCGTGCCATCATCCTCTGCCTCGTCTTCGTCCACCTCGTCCACCGCTGCCGCCAAGAAGGCTTCTGCATCCTGCCACACCCTGCACTGCCCGGGGGCATCCCTCGGCGGGTTCCGCCCGCCTGGATACCCGCTGGACCCGAGGAACGGCTGCATCGACTCGCCGTACGGTGAGTGGCTCGCGCCGGTACCTGAGGATTTGGGGCGAGGCACACCCGCGCCACGCCAGTCCAGCCGCAGTTGGGGGCGGGGTTTGGGAGGTGGTCAGGGGGACTCGGTGGGGTCACGCTCTGTTTGTTATTGTTTAGCGAGCCTTCGTTTGACCGCGCGCGAGAACTCGAGCAGGAGAGACAATCGCCCGCTTTGTGATGTGGAGGCTCGCGCAGGCCGAGAGCGGGGCACGGGGCGTGAAAATCGAGAGATGGCACCCAGCAATGGGACGGAGGCAGTGGCGGTGAGATGGGGTGAATGTAAATGGCACGTAGAGTCGGGTGTACAGCAGAGTTTGTCTTTGCTGTGACGTCATATCATATATTCATGTTTTATCTTGTGGATGCTACAGCGGGAATTCTTTCAGAGTCACTTCTGGCTTCTTTGGTCACGCAAACATTCTCAGATGTTTAGTTTGTTGTCCTTCCCCCGCACTTCCAATTAGAATGGTCGGCTACGTATGGTGCGAAAGAAGTTCAACATACATACGTACAAATGGAACCCTTTGTAAAGAACAAATCGGATTTTTGTTGTTTTTATAATGACTCCAAAAATACATTCAAATGTTGCAGCTATACGAAGACCCTTCCATTCTGGGTCCAGGGAAGATCGTGAATGCCTTGGCTTCTCGGCAGAACACGTCAGCGGCGGTGAGGCTTAACGTCCTTCGCACTTAACCGCCCTACGATGTTTCTAATAAACGTTTTGGCCAAGTCACGCTGCGAGCACACCTGCACCGTTGCGCGCAACCGCAGATCGCGAGAGTTAGCATGCTGCACGTGATGAGTCTCCCACGCTTGCACCTTCATTATGATCGATGGAAACTCCTCACCTGCAGCTCGACGCAGGAAGTCACTGTGGTGATGAAAGCTGTGTCCTCACTCCAGGAATGTCGCGTAATTGAAAAGACGTCACTCCGGCACATGTGGTCGTGAACCCTGACCCCCGAGCACTGGGCGTATTTTGTGTGGGAGTGCATTCCTCCACGCAAGTGCCCTGATGGTGGGTTTCAATGTCAGGTTTGGTCAGATCCAATGAACTGACAAAGAGCACCTGGTTTAACTGCAATAGTGCTGTCAAATCAGTGAACGCTCTGTGTAACTTGGCAAGTTGAGGCTTTTTTTCTTCACTTTTACTTAAACGGTTTTCAAATATAATGACCGAAACTTTATGCTGATCACAATGCAGAATTCGCTACTTACGTAAGTTTGACGAACATTTCTTATCATTCTGAGCACTTTTAATATCTTCCTATATGTCACAAACACTCATTAAATATGCGGCCAAATTTCACAATGCAGGACACTCCAGGAAAAATAATTTGAAGCCCAGCGAGGCTTTCCTGCATACAATAAAGGATTCTTATCACTAGCTGTCAATGTAACTAGAAACATCTCCTGATGGCAAAAGCAATGAGCTAGTTATTTCAATTTTAAGTCCCAAAGAACGTAGGAATAAATACATGAAAGAAACCTGTGTTTTTAAGCACTGCAAATGAATCGTTGGCTATGCATATGAAAAGTTAAGGGGATCAAGCCTGAGCACCTCTAAGCCCCCAGCCCTCAATAGTGTTCGCCGAGCAGGATTAAACGACAGAGGTCTGCAAGGAGAGTGGACGGTGGCATATGCCACCGTCGCAGAGAGGGGCCGATGTGACGAGGTGCGGACTTTTGTGGCGCTGCGCTAGGCGGCACAGGGTCCGCCGTGCCTTGTAGACGAAGGGGACAAACAGTTTCCCTTCTCACCCTGGGATGGACGCGGAGAGAAGCTGTGCTGGGCTGATCGGAGCCAGGGGCTAAGGGGAAGTTTGGACGGAGGCTCGGGGAGGAGGTGGTGGGGTTTTTTGGGTTGGGGTATTTTTTTTCTCTGCAGGGGCGGGGGGGATGCGATGGGTTGGGTGAGGCAAAGCCTAAATGAGAACACCCACGTCGAAAAAGGGCAGGCAATCGGCAGCCAAGTGGAAAACATGTGGGGCAGGGGCGGGGGCTACCCAAGCCCCACGGTGGTGTGGCTCGGAGTAGCGGCGGCGCTCTATTCGGACGGCAACGCCGGCACTCCCGTGCCGGTGCGACCGTCCGCGCCGCGTGCCACCGCCGCGAATTCCCAGATCGCCCGGTGAATCGCGGATGCCACCAGCGCGCCGTCCTCCTGCCGGATTTACCTCCGTTTCACCCGTGATGGGATCTGTTGGCGCGAGCGAGTGAGGCTTGATGCGCGCAAGCCGCATGTCATGCGAGACCCAGTAAGTCGCACTTTTGTTGTTGTTCTCATTCTTTAAACCTGTGCGGTGCAGGTGCGCGGTGGCCCGCATTTAGACGCATTTCTTAAAGGATGGATTTAATATCGGGACGTGTGATGTATAACCCCAATCTTCTTTGAAAGTGACGCGTGTACAGCAAATGTTACTTTACGTGTTTCAAACGGAAATGTCAGCGAAATCTAATCACTTTTCCTACTGACTCATCAGCAATGTATCCTTTTTATGATCCGGGAGAATTTTTTTTAATATAACTTTATAGATTTCTATAAAGCACTGCCAAATGCATTAACCATATAAAGGGGATTTATTGCAATCTGTAAATGATTGAGAATTGATAGAGAAATGTTCTCATAAACGACTGCGTCTGTTTGAGTAGCGGAGGAGCGTCGGGGAAGTTGTGGTTAAGGCAGCACCACTCCTCCTTCAGCTCAATTCGTTGATGCCGCCTCCTTGGGCCCAGATTTAACTGTGACCATGAGAGTTCAGCGTCCACGCTGCCACAGCTCGTCAATGGTGGTCGATACCTCGGGGCGCTCGCGACGTGATGTTGCGATGTCTGGTGGGACGCTGCTGGAGTCTGGGCAGGTCCTACAGTGTGGACAAAGAGAGAGAGAGAGTCCGCTAAAAACTTTATGGGACAGCTTATACTCGTCGACGACAAAACACCCCATAAAGGTGACGGGCAGTCTCCAGACACGCTTGTTTTATAGCGGTTTGCCAAAAAAAGAAATTCCAAAAATTGTTAACATATTTTGGTTTCATTTGATCGGACCAGAGGAGAAAGTGACTGAGTGCTTTTCACTTGTTTAGCGAACAAGGGGCTGTGAGGTCAGGGCAGCCGGTGTGTGCACCAGCGTTTCCTCGTGTTCCTGTGACCCGCGACATCTCCTGTTCCTGCGTCTCGGCATGCTAGCTTCACCATGGCTCTCGCTGTCCTTAAACTGTGACGTCTTCTGGCCTAAGAGGCGACATGGATCGTTCAGATGCAGTGCATCTGAAAGATCCACGCTATATCAATGTGAGCTGGGGTAAGGCCAGGACACCGTCGGGGTGGAAGTGTGCGAGAATACGTTTAGCTGCTTTACACGCATCTAATGTTCTCGGTTTTCCATGCTGCAAATGTCAGCGGTTGCTTGAATTTAAATGTTTACAGAAGCACTAACTGACTATGAGGCAGGTTTAACATCCAATGTCATCACATGGACTGGATTGAATCGTGTAGTGGTGAGCAGAATTGATTTGTATACGAGTCCAAGAAAGGAACCTTGGTTAGTGCAGTAGCAAAAGGGTCTAATGCAGAATTTGTGGGACAATTAACTTAGCTCAAATTATTTTGCCATCATTGCTGTCAGCAAACAGTGCTGTATGATGCAATCTGAATGTAACATGATTGCAATTTTGGCAATGGCGATTGAGAAGGGGGCACCAAAATGTAGTTTATGTTGTATCCTTTATTTAATCAGAAGTTGAAATGAACCAAATTGAGACTCACAACATATTTCCTCTATTCCAATGTGACCTGCACTGACAAGGGGATAGTTTAGAATCCAAATATTTATTTAAACTGGAGGAATCCGATGAGCTATAATGCTCTTTTTAACAGATGTCCACTATTTCACAGATGACATCAGGCTGATGCTGAAGTCCGATCTCCACAAACGATCAGTTTCAACGTTTCCTGACATGCGTGACTTTACACTCAAACATAAATCGGCGTGAGTTGGTGATTACATCCAGGTTGGTAGGTGATTAACACGAAGCCAGAACGGTGTGGCAGGACAGCGCAATGTACGCAATCAAATCCGTGTGACGAAGCCCTTTGTGAGACACTCACAGGCGCAGAACCCTCACACCCAGTAAGCAGCTGAAAAGAAACTGCCGACTCAGGAGTTTTCTCAGGTGGGAACATTAAGGATGGAGCGCAGGTTCTATGCGACCACTCCGCACATTCTACATGCACGCATGGAAGCTTGTGTTGCCTCCGAAATGTCGTGATTTTAATTTTATTTTTTATTTTACTTTTATGAATTTTAATTTTAATTTTTTACCTACGTGACTTTACCGAAAAAACCTAAGAATACGCATGGAGCAGCCACTTGCTTTAATTTTATTTTAAAGCTATCTTTTATTGAAAATATTACCTGGCAAGCCAGGTCCAGCTTGTCACGTGGTTGAGCCAATGCCCTTGTATCCTGTGTGTGTGTGTTTTTGTCCATGTGAGAGGAAACTGGACAGGCCAAAGGATATGTAACGAGCGTGAGGAGTGCACACAACCTCCGCACGCACAAGATCAGAGTCATACTTGTTGTGCCATCTCCTTGGCAGGCACCAACCCCCGTCCCCTTTTGGGGGCGCTGCGCTGAATTGAGATGTGCATGAGGCGGTGAGGAAAGCGGGTTGCTTCACTCCACACGGCCGACTCTGAGAAAGCCCTGGACACGAGGCACTGCTCGAGACACAGGGCCGAGGGGCTGCCGTGTGCCTCCCCCCACCCTGTGCCGGGCGCTGCGGCGTCACCGTTTTAATGCATTTGGCAACAGTCCTTTATTCCGTGGGTGGTCCCGTTTAAGGGCAATAATGGATTTTTTTTTTACCAATGAGTAATAAAACTCAATGAAATATCTTGCAGGAACTTGTGGCGTGTATGGCACGGCATGTATATGGATCTTCCAGACGTTTTGTTATTCAATTAAGAAAACA